TTTTTTGAGCTAAAAATAAAAAATATTTGTTAGTAAAATTAAAAACTTTTATATATAAGAAAAAATACGTATTTTACAAATTATAATTAGTAAAAAATTTAAGCATTGCATTATTTTTGATTGCCACTGTAATTTATTATTTAAATAATATTATTTTTTATATTTTATTAATATAAGTCAGTCTTAATATAATAAAATATTAGATTAGAATCTTTTTTTATTATAATAAGATATTTATTATATTAAATTCTAAAAAATCTATTATAATTAAATTCTAAATAATCTATTATAATTTCAATTAAATTATATATAAAAATATAATTAATTAAAATATATTATGTAACTTAATCTTTTATATCAAGAAATTAAGCTTGATTTTATACAGAAAAAATCTTTACTATATTATAATATTTACTATATTAAGTCTTTACAGACTGACCTGTATTTAAAATATAAAATATAAATATTATTTCTTGAATTTCACAGCTTAAGTAAATTTAATTATTAATAAAATCTGAAAAAACTATTAATTTGATATTTTAATATTTATTAAATTATAAGTATTGATTACTAAAGTTAAAATTATACAAAAAGATATTTTGTAATTTTGTTTTGCTATACAAGAAAAATAATCTGTAATTGAAATTATTATAATTTTTTGTAAATTATATAGTATTATTCTATTATAAATATAAATTAAATTTAATATATGAATATAACTAATAATTTAATTTACATTTCTATAACATTTTATTTAGAATATTTTTTGATATTCTTTATTTTTTTTGTTTTTTAATTGTTTTAGGTATTTTTTTATTTTTAATTTATTATTTCTTCTCTTCAGCAATTTATATGCATACATTCACATTATTCTTGACGTTACCATACTTTCTTTGTTTTCATATCGTACAACTGTATAGCTGACTAACAATAAAAGAATCCGACAAAGCTTTTTTATTTTCATATGTAAATAAAATACCTTTGACCTCTAATAATTGTTCATGACTTATTACGTATATTGAATTTCTTATTAGATTATTGTTGCGAAAGTTTTTTAAAACTTATTAACGAATAAATAAAAATTGCATGGTAAATTATTTATATTTATGATGAAAGGTTACGCGATTGCAACGAGTTAAAGTGACGGAACTATCATTTTTAAAAGTTACGACTAGGCAACAAAAGAAATATCAAGAAAAAAAGCGAAGACAAATTGAATCTTATTTATTATTTATTCCTTTGCCTTTTCCTCCGGCACCAGATACGGCAACAACTCTAACATCAATTCACCCAATCGTGGATAATTAGTCGGGTTTGCGTTAATACGTTCGAATCCTTCCGACTTTCGAACGCGCGCAAAATTCTCAACCACGTATTTGACCACGTGATCTTTAATGTCAGGCCATTTCCATGCTACTCCAAACAATAATTCGGCTGCATTGCCATCATTTAAATCTCGGCATAATTTTGCTTTTGCACGTTGTCGTAAATCGGTGATTAGATATTTGTCGGCGATGCTAAATAGAGCAAGTGCAGTTTTGTGAGATGTTTCTCGTTTTTCGAAAACTACTCGGTCGGTATATAGGAATTGAAGCATTTCGAGAAATGTGATGTGATGGAAATCGGTTACTTCAATGTAATATTTTAATGAAGATGGGATATTGTTTGTTGATGTGCCGCTGGTAGTAAGAAATGTGCTTGATGTGCTTGCAATATTGCTGCTGTTACTATTGAAGCTTCCGATCTGATCCATCAATTCTTTATTGGACAATGCGCCAAAATTACTACTTTCTGAAGAAGCGATATTTCCAGGCACAAACGTTGCTTCCGATTTCAATGCCTTTTTTTGATACTCTGACCATTTTTGCTGGAATAATTTCTGAAAATATTCTGATCGCTTTGATAGAATTGAACTATGGGCATAAATAATTTGACCCTGAACATTGAATTGCACATCAGCAGTTTCCACTTTGTTTAATTGTGAGGTCCACGCTTTGATCAAATTATCAGGAATCGGGATTACGGGAAGTGGTCCGGCTTGTGCTAATGGTCGAAATATCGTTTTATCGAAATCAACGCCAAGTATAAACTCGTCTGGTAATAAACTTTTTTTATAAAATCTATTTAACCCTATATGCATCAATGATATCAACCAATTGTTAGATTAGATTTCTTATTCAAGAAATTATTTCAACAAAATGATAATAATACCATAACCAGCCCATTTCGAACAAAAGTTGTCCATCCCTATAGTAAAGGATTTGACATAGGGACTGCAAAGATAATTGGGTATTAATCGAAATATAAACTGAATAGAAAAATAGTAAATCCAAAATATGACAAAGGCACATACGAAGATACAATTGTATCTGATTGGTATAGCAAAGGAGTTCGGAGATACAACGTAGCTGACACTTGACTTCTTCGTGACCATGACGTAGTTAAATGTTCTTCCTCACCATTGGGTATAGCGCAAAGAAACAAAGAAAAATAATCGGGGTCCTCTTTGTAAGACTAGCGTATAAGTATAGGAAAAAAATTTTTAGATCCAAAAATAATCAACTAGTTTATAAGTCAAATCAAAAATACCGGAACGAATTTTAATTGCCAAAACATATCATCTGAAGTGGCGAACGGCGGACTGTAGACTTCGCCGCTCAATTTCGAGACTTCAAATAAGGCATATTCAAAGGATCCTTTAGATCTAATTGTCTCCATGCTTGTTTCTTCTCACGCTTGATTTTTAATTGTTACCACTACGAATTTGGTGAAAAAAATACGTAATATGTACATGTAACGTTTTAAAAAATGATCAACGCAGAGAGATGTATTATCGTTATTCAATAGTTAAGTAATGTAGCGCAAGTTTTTTATCCAATGATTTAAAATAACGATAATGATCGCCCGGAATTACATGTATGTCATATCGATATACATGTAGCAGCTGATCTAAATGTGACAAAAATTATCGTCATAGCGACTTTTGTAAATTGAAAATATACCAAATACATATACATGTTTTACTTAATACTGAATTTAATTTAATTTATTAAATATAATTAATATAGATTTGGTACACTATATATTATAAACATATATAGCATATTCTCGTAAATAATTCCATGCAGTCCTGGATAAAACCTATAAATTAAAAACCTGTATAGTCCTTTACCTGCATTTCTTTGAGAAATAAGATAATCGCGAAAAATTTTCACTTCATCTTTTAGTAAATGCTTTTGGAGATTCATTATTATCATTTTCATTTGCAATAGATTGTCCATCATCACAATCACCGTCAAGAGTAACGGATGATTGTCTTGAAGAGCTTATAAGATTACTCTGTTCTTGACTTTCATATAGTTGTTGTACACGGGACGTGTTGGTGTGACTCTAGAGCTTTCTTTCTTCTTGTAAGTCGCTACTTCGTATTTGTTTCGTTGTTGAGGCACTCGTTCTTTCATTCGCCAACGGAGCGTTCAGGAGGCATAATAAATTTTATTGCGTGAGATCGCCAAGGGTAACGGACGTTTGCCCCAGGATAAGTCCGATATATGACGTTGCCGCGCAAAGGCCTTCTTTTTTGTATTAAATATTCTCTCAATTCTGCCTCCTCTTGAGCGGCATAGGAGGCGCGGCTTTTTGGACTTCCGTAAGATTGAGCGTTGGTGTTATAGTTCATTTTACAATTTTGAAACAAGAAACAAGAACGATTATCGCTGGACAAATTTCCTTTCGGGATAGTATCATGTGATATGGTATTCGATCTGCACGTTCACACGCAATATATCATCGTGATCAATGAGCAACAAATTAACATTCACACACAATATATCGATATCGATACATTCACACGCAATATATCATCGTGATCAAATTAACATTCACACGCAATATGATCAATTTGTTGTTGAGATTTCTTGTCATCTACAGTTCAATATACCAAATGTCTCACATTGCATATGTTAATATGCTAAAAAAAAGCCCCGATGCAGGCAGAATAATATATTTCTGTTTATGTATAACGTTTTATTTTAGGGTGAGCGATTGACATTTAGCTCTGCTTCATTTTTCAATATAATTTGTCGTCTTTTCCTTTTCATGTTGTACGGCATAGTAACTTTTTCTATATTTGATCGATAAGTTAGATTTTGTTGCAGATTATTTGAGAATGCAATATTCATACTACATTGATCTGAATTTATATGGTCAAATTCGATATTTCTTTCATAAAGATTTTCATTCCCATTCATACTTATGAAATACTTCTTTATTAACCTTGACAAGATACATGTAACTCTTTAGAAAATAAAATACTGAGCTTAGCTCTTAAATTGAAAGTATAAATAAAGCATATGTATATAATACATGTACATGTAGAATAAAGCATCAGATGTTAACATTCATCCGACAAAAATAGAATTGTTTTCGAGCTATAGCATTTGTCCTACATAATTTTTAGTATTTCAGAAATCGAGAGCATTACAATTATCGAGCCAATACTATGATAAATTTGAACTCGAAATTTTGAGGGTTCGGGAGTTCGTGAATTTTGTGAATTCCAGATTTCCGGGATATTTGAACGGTATCACAGTTAGAGTTTGTAACCAGTTATATTTTAAGATCTTAATCCGGATTATATTCGAATTTTAATATCATCTTCGCGAGTTACCTTTCGGCAAATTTTTTTACAATTACTACAACTAGACATAATCCCTTAGTAAATCACTACAACGAGGTTTAAAAAAGTTTTTTTAGTACTGTGTGTATATGAAAATGAATCTTTATTTAAACTTTGAAACAAACGAGATAATGATTATATAAAAAAAGATTAACCACCTGAGCATAAAAATATAAATTTAATCTGTTGTGTGTTGGAGTGGGTGTATCTGTGTTAATGCTATGTACTTTCATACATACACAATGCGTCTTTGTGTGTTTTAGCATTTCTTTTTAATGACACATATATCTGTTATTATTCCGAAGGAACTCTAATAATAGAAAAGAGTCATTATTTAAAACAAATTTTTATAGTCATGCTACTCTTCGATTTATTGTATAAAAGGTTTGATAAATTTTATATTCTATTTCGATTAAGCATCGTAATTCTATAATATTACATGAAGCCAAAAAACAAGAGCTATTGATAGAATATTAACGTCAACTCTTATAAACACAAAATAAAATAATTTTTTCAGTCATTCTCTAATCGTAAGATATCAGTTTAACATGTACCATTTTAAATTATCCTAGAACATATACATGCGTGAAACAGATATGAAAGTTATTTCGAAATAGATACTTATTTTCAAAATACCGCCCATGTGGTCCCGAAAATAACTCGCACCTGACATAAAATATCAGCAGATTTATGATAAATTACCTCCATATATATATAATAGCTTACTTTCTATAGACGGTTCACCCCGTTCATGAGCGTTTTTTAAAAATTTTAAAAATATTAGGCTTGGAAAATTAATCTTTTATCTCGAAATAATAAACATGGGATTACTCGAATAAGACGTAGGCGACATTATTTTGCTAAGATAAGATACAAAGTAATAAAATTTAATCCAGCTAATTTTACATTCTATATAGAAAAATGGTAGAGCCACTCTCTTATGAAACTTGCAACGCGTGCGTTATTAATGTCAAGTTTTTGTTATGCAAGGGTTGTGTGTGCATTACGCAAAGCTTCAGCCATCATCATTTTTCAAAAGTCTAACGGATCAGTAAATAATTCTAGATGGTATTTCACTTACATGTATTAACGTTGCAAATATTTGTTCGTCTAGTGGTGCAGTTTTTATATACAGTGGCTGCCAAATGTTTTGCATCGTCCAAACGACAAATTTAAAAGTTTAATACAAGATCATTCTCTCACAGAATGATTATTCACATATTATAATCTCCTGCCAAAACTATAAATATCTGCAGCGCTTACAATATATTATCTCGGAACTCATGTAAGGAAGTACTCCACAAATTTATTTGGTCAGGTCTTTCTATATTATTTGTAACGCTAAGTACAAAATCAGCAATTTGAGGAATATATTCCAGATGGTCAATAATATCGATAAATATCTTAATTTTGATTCCAAGTCAATTTTTCGTAGTTGGATGCAACTGCATTGACAATTATAGAATTTAAGGCAAACTGAGTCTATTTTCGAGAAATTTAATTGTCACAGAAAATAAAAAAACAACTTTCATTTCATCATAAAATGTTCATTTTTTATCTCGTGCAATAACTTTGCCTTGAATTGTGTAATGAGTTCAACATAACTCCAATTTTTCTAAATTTACTTTTTTCAGTTTTAATTTAGGAATGCATCCATCTGACCAGATTGCTTTATAAATTATCTCATAACACGCTCTTCAACATTGGTAATCTTTCAAAAGAAACCTATTCGAATAATTTATATTGATATATTTTATCTCCTTTAATAATTTTGTTAATACAGTGTGTTGCGAAAAAAATGGCGCACAAATAAACTTGGCAATTATCCAACGGAGATAAATGAATGCGGACTTATTTTAAAGCTTATAAACCACTTTATTAAGTATAAAAATTTTAATACGAAATTCTATCCCCATTTTTTTGTAATACTAGTTCGCAACAATTTTTCATAGATCTGATTAAATTTTGTACCACCTCCTGAGGAATTTTATCCCACTCTTCTACCATAAATTGCTTTAACTCGCTAATATCTTTAGCATTCTTTTTTCCACATTGTTTTTAACTATCTGCCACATATTCTCGATGAGATTCAGATCTGGGCTGCTAGACGGCCACTCCATTACATGAATGTTGTTTTGAGAAAAAACATCCTTTGCAACACGTGAAGTGTGCTTAGAATCATTATCTTGTTGCAGATGCCATCTTCTACCATAGATCTGTTGGACAAACGGAAGAAGCTGAGTTTGCAAAATATTTATATAAAAGGGACCATCCATTATTTTTGTAAAGCAAAAACAAGGATGTTTTGCCATTCATCGAAATTCCACCCCAAGCCATTACCTTTTGTCATGATTTCGGTAATTTTCTAATCGCCTTTCGCCATTCTTGTACCATCATGTTATTTTATTATAAAACAGATCAAAGGAATCTGTGAAGATAGTATAGTTTCCAGATATCATTCAAGTAAGCTTGTGCCCATGCTTTTTGCGCATCAATTTGATTACTGGTGAGCATTGGGGTAGCAAGTGGTGTGGCACTTTTATATCCCTTTTTCTTCATGTATCGCCAAAATTTAGTATGCGAAATAGATACGCTATACGTTTCTTGAATTTTAATTACAAGTTGACGAGTTGTCATGGCTGAGTTACGGCAAACTAATTGTCCGATCGAACGGGATATGGTTTGTGTAACCTTGGGCGAACGACCATTACCACCCTTGTGTTCGATGGTCTTCGTTGCTTTGAGTTTTTTAAGATTACGTTTAATAGTTCGAAGGGGAATTTTCGTATTTTGGTGTATTTCTATGGCAGAACGAATACCATTTAGCCAATAATGTAAAATTGCTTGACGTTGTGCTTCGAGCTTTGTGTTAACCAATAATGTAAAATTGCTTGACGTTGTGCTTCGAGCTTTGTGTTAACCATGTTTACAAGGTTCAAATGAGAAACTATTCAAAGAAAAAAGCGGTTTACTTTTGCAAATGCAATTAAGGACAAGTAAATAAACTTATATAAATATAGAGGCTATGTAAACAAACGCGTTTTTCTTTTGTTATTCAAAAAACAAATCTTTCAATTTACGCGCCATTTTTTTCGCAACACACTGTATCTTTATCGCCGTTAGACATTTCGTCGTTAGATATTCGTTTATGATATAAAAAAAGTCAGCATCATAGAAATCATCTTGTTGACAATTGCAACATTTACTATAATCATGAATATTGTGGACTAAACACTCGTTGCAATAACAATTCTCTCCTTCATTACAAGGATGAGTGTTTGATTCCATTTACTTCATAAAAGCAAATTTCTTGAAATACATGTAATAGTAAAACAAACGAGATACATGAACCGATATCGTTATGCATGTACATATACGCCGTTCCGTACGCCATGTACATGTATGTAGCGGTAGTGATTCAAATTCTGAAAAATGTGGAACTTGAAATCTCTTAACGTTAAATGTATATGCAAATGTATATCGATATGCACAGAAACCATTCATAATGCACTGCCAATTATTTGTTCATTATCGAACATTAATCAACTAACAAGACTTACTCATTTATAAAGAAGCATCGTACGTCCTCTTTGAACATATCTTAAATATATGGCAGACATAGAATCAAATAATGAAATCGAAGCGTTTATTCAATCGACACCTGAAATTGAGAAAATAACTTTCGAAAAATTCACTAATATTGAGAAAATTGCCAAAGGGGGATTTGGTGAAGTGTACAAAGCTGTTTGGAATAAGAATGCTTGGGAAACGAAAGAAGTAGCATTGAAGTCATTTGGGACTATAAAAGAATTATTGTATGAGGTAATTAATATTAAAGATAGTGTCCGAAGTCACAGTTTGTATATGATTGATAAGTATGCGAATTCCTATTTATTCATCTTTGTTCCAATTCTATTTGTTCAATGATAATTGTACAATTAAGGCCGAAATGACTCTTAAATGTCAAAAAAGACGGTAAAAATTATAACCAAGCTTATAAT